TGGTCTGTCCTTCATGTCTTCATCTGGTCTGTCCTTCATGTCTTCATCTGACCTGTCCTTCATGTCTTCATCTGACCTGTCCTTCATGTCTTCATCTGACCTGTCCTTCATGTCTTCATCTGACCTGTCCTTCACGTCTTCATCTGACCTGTCCTTCACGTCTTCATCTGACCTGTCCTTCACGTCTTCATCTGGTCCTTATGTTCTGACTCCTCCCACTGAGCAGCAGGTATAAAGTCTGTTTTGAACTTGGTATGGCCCCGCCCCCCAGCTGAAAAGAATGATGTCATAATGAATCAGCTGTTTGTCTCCTGCAGATGACTTTGAGTCTAAATATTCGTTCCATCCTCTGAACGACTTCCCTCCTCCAGACGAGTACAGACACTTCACTAAGATCTACCCCAGCAAAGCTAACAGAGGTACACGGCTGCCTGCACACACCTGTACACACCTGTACACACTGCTGCCTGCACACACCTGCACACACTGCTGCCTGCACACACCTGTACACACCTGCACACACTGCTGCCTGCACACACCTGTACACACCTGTAGACGCCTGCACACACTGCTGACTCCACCCACTCATTTAGGGCTCAGGTTGAAGTTAGAAAGCAGTAAACCTTTAGAGCTGAGGTTGTTTACTGAGTTCTTTTTGTTTTTGTTTGTTTCAGTGATGAGAGGAGCTCCGCCCCTTCCTCCTGTGGGGAGGTGAACTGAGAACACTGTTCACACACACACACACATAAACATAAACACACACACACACATAAACAAACATAAACACACACACACATAAACATAAACATAAACACACATAAACACATAAACATAAACATAAACACACACACACATAAACATAAACATAAACATACATAAACACAAACATAAACATAAACACACATAAACACACACACACACACACACACACTGACTTCATCATCCTGTTTGTCCGTGGCCTCCTCCTCTGCTCACAGCTGATTGGCTGAGGACACGTCAGGCAGATGGACCAATCAGAGCTTGATTTAAAGTTGTGGCTCCTCCTCCTCCATATTGGATTTGTTTTGCACTTTTTGTTTCATGTCAGCTGACCACAGCGAGGAGGAGGAGGAGGTCTTTGTGCTCTGATGACTGAGGGTACCTGACAGACTGAGACTCGTCCAGAACCAGGAACCAGGTCCTGGACTGGACCTCCTGACTCCACAACCGGTCCTGGAATCAGGTTTTCTTTTGGACTCCATGAAGTAAAAAGTCCTCAGCTGAGCTTCTGGGCCTGTTGATGAGAGCGACGGTCGGCTCATTAAAGTGCCAAGACTGACTGAAACCACCTGCAGAGACTCACCTGGTGGCAGGTGGCCCCTCCCACTGCTGTCAATGGCTCCTCCTCCTGTAGATGACCCCTCCTCCTGCTACAAATGGCTCCTCCCCCTTTCACAGACACATTGCATGTCTCATCGTTTCAGTGTAAATAACTTCCCAGGATTCACAGCAGCCCGATGACGCAAACGAGAGTTATTTTTATTATTTTTTTATTTTGTTTTATGTTTTATTCTTTGTGACTTTAGGAGGAGAGTGTTCTGAGAGAACGAGCTGCTAACGTGTGTCTGATGGAAATATAAAGGTTCCAGTTAATTTCAGTTAAAACATGAATAAAATCAGGTTGAACCTGTTAAAATACTTTACTTATAAATTCACTAACATTTAAAAAATAAAACTCATTTGGTGAAATAGAATCTTAAATTTGAAAAGTTGCACTAAAACAACTCAAACTGTGAAACTTTACGTTTGTATAACATCAGTTTTTATCAGTTTAAACATGAAGGATCTGTTTCAGGAATGGTTCTGGTTCTGTACTGGACCTTCTGTGCACCTGTCACGTTCTGTTCTTTAAGGTTTGAGCCCGGTTCTGTTCGGGCTTTACATCAGAACATGTTGAACTTTATTTACCTGCTGATTGAATCTGAACCCTGTTGGACCTGGTCCGTCTGAGACAGAACCCTGTTGGACCTGGTCCGTCTGAGACAGAACCCTGTTGGACCCGCTCCTCGTCTGTCTGCCTTACAAACTGCTGGCTGTCACTCATCAGAACCTGTCGGACTGAAACGGGCTCGTTGTTGTTTCTCTGCTGCAGGACCGGCTGTAGGGACCTGGGCCATAAAGGTTCTGGTCCTGCAGCTTTCGAAGCAGTGGGTCCAGTTCCCAGCATGCTCTCTAACTGGTTTGTGCTTCTTTAAAGTGTCTGAAATAAACTGGTTACTGACGTCTCTGTGTGTTCTCGTTAACATGTAGCTCCATCCAGCTGCTGCAGCGGCCATCTTGGATCAGGTTCTTCCTGAGTTAGAGTTCAAATGTCAGAAAAACATTTCATTAACTACAGGTCAGCAGATTGTAGCAACATTTACCAGCTGCACCTGAACATGACCTTTGACCCCGCCCAACACTGAGGTCACTGCTGACGGCTTTCCCTCTTGGTGTGTTGACACACCTGTATGAGACTGTTACAGGTTAATAAGATAACATCAGAGCTGTAAAGTAACTAAGTACAAATACTTCTTTACTAGTTTTAAGTAGAATTTTTGTGTGTCTGTACTTAACTTGAGTAATTATTTTTCAGCTTACTTTTTACTCTACATTTTTAAAAAGACAAGAAGTATAAAGTTGTTACTTTTATTTCACTTTTGCTTGTTTTCATTGCAGCTTGTTGTAAAAAATAAAAACTATCCATATAAACTGAGCCTCCTAGATAGAGTGAATTTAACTGTGGTTGAATGAGAAGTATAAATATATAAAACTCTGATAGTGTATTAGTTTGTACACAAACAAATCATGTCACACTCCAGCAGGACAGAATCATTCAAATAAAAGGACTGTACTTAAGAAGTATTTGTATTTCATGAATTATATTCTTACATTTGGCCGCAGCCCTCAGATAGATTTTCATTTTGGGGAAAAGCTTTGTGCAGCCTTGATATATGTATATAAACTGAAACAGCTGGACTAGTGCATCCTAAATTTAACATCCATTCATTCTTTTAATACAACAGTCATTTCTGCAGTTTTTGGGGAGGTCACCTCCTAATAAATGTCCTTACAGAAAATCTAACTGCTCATTTTAAATCTACACTTTGACTTTTAATACTTAACTACAACAAATATCACATACTTTAACACTTTTAATACTTAACTACAACAAATATCACATACTTTAACACTTTTAATACTTAACTACAACAAATATCACATACTTTAACACTTTTACTCAAGTAATATTCCTAAAGGAGACTTTAACTTTTACCAAAGTCAGTTTTTAGTAAGATACTTGTACTTTTACTCAAGTATCACTTTGTGGTACTTTATACAACAGTGTAAAGTACTAACATAGCTGAGGCTTTGAGTGCAGTTCTTCAGTTTTTCAACTGCAGTTTCTCGTTTGACCACYAGGGGGCAGTCACGGTTTTAGAGGCCGCAGCTTCCCGGAAACACGTGACTCCCTTCCACAGGAAAACAAGCAGCACATGTTAAAGTTTACCTGCTTCATGTAGAGGAAATTATTACAAAGGTTTTATTTAAGTCCCCGGGTTTCTTCAGGGAGTCTGGTGCTGAAAACAACATGGCGGAAGTGATCAAGCTGCCGGGGTCTGAGGACAGGAAACGGGCCAAGAAGAGAACCCGACCGGAGCCGGACACGTTCGACCCGGAGAAAGAGCAGCAGCTCCGGCAGCAGAACGTGAGGAGGCTGGCGGTTCTGGGGGAGGAGGACGGGTCCGTGAAACGGCTGGAGACCCTGGTGTTCGGGGCGGAGGATGAGCTGCTGGAGAGGCTCGTGGAGGAGGTGATGTTCCCGCCAGACTCCGTTCAAAAATCACAAATTTTAATGTTTACCTGCTGCTACAGCCACAAAACCCCGCGGCTTACAGCAGAAAGTCAAACTTTTTCATTAGTTACTGTTCGGCTTCATTTTKAWCACTTTACTACGCTTTTTATGTYGTTAAATATATTTTATATGTCAGAATAAAGCAGGGTTCTGTGTTTCCTGTGGTTCAGGAGGAAGAGGAGCAGACAGGAGGTCACCTGCTGGAGGAGGAGGAGCTGGATCAGTCCGAGGATGAAGAGGAGGCTCCTCCTCATCAGGAGCTGCAGAACAGAAAGGCTGTCTGGGTGGACGAGGATGATGAGCAGGAGGAAGAGTTAGTTTGTCACAAAGATTTTCTGTAAAAACCTCACCTGTTGATGTTTACCTGTCTGTCTGTTGTTTACCTGTCTGTCTGTTGTTTACCTGTCTGTCTGATGTTTACCTGTCTGATGTTTACCTGTCTGTCTGATGTTTACCTGTCTGTCTGATGTTTACCTGTCTGTCTGATGTTTACCTGTCTGATGTTTACCTGTCTGTCTGTTGTTTACCTGTCTGTCTGTTGTTTACCTGTCTGTCTGATGTTCACCTGTCTGATGTTTACCTGTCTGATGTTTACCTGTCCTCTGTCAGGGTGGATATGAGGCATCGTTACCGTCGAAATCTGATCAAAGGAGAAGCGGAGTCCTCCATGAGCAAACAGAAACTTCAGCAGAGGATGAGAGATCAGTAAGTGAACACACCTGTACACACCTGTACACAGCTGTACACAGCTGAACACACCTGTACACAGCTGAACACACCTGTACACACCTGTACATAGCTGAACACACCTGTACACACCTGTACACACCTGAACACACCTGTACACACCTGAACACACCTGTACACACCTGTACACACTTGTACACAGCTGAACACACCTGTACACACCTGAACACACCTGTACATAGCTGTACACACCTGAACACACCTGAACACAGCTGTACACACCTGTACATAGCTGTACACACCTGAACACACCTGAACACACCTGTACACACCTGTACATAGCTGTACACAGCTTATCTTGTGTTGCAGGTTCCAGAAGTCAATGGGAGGGGCTCCATCATGGGCGGAGCCTATCAACACAAAGAAGAAGAAGAAGAAGAATGGTGGAACCACAGAATAAAAAACATTTTTGCTCGATTTATTTATTTTTATTTATTTGTTTGTTTATTTGTTTGTTTTTCTCTTTAGCAGTTGATAAAAGGGAGGATGATGATGAGGAGGAGGATGAGGAGGAAGATGATCTGCTCCGAAGAACTGGGAACTTTGTGGCGTCTTCAGAAACTCTGCCCAGTGGCATCTTAAAGGTCAGTGAGTTCCTTCATCATCATCATCATCWTCATCATCATCATCATCACTGCCATGATGAAGATTTTCTGATTCAAACAATAAAAACTTATCAGCAGTTTGTGTTAAAATGTTCACAATCTGATCTGTTGACTGTCGTCTCTGTCTCCGTGGTAACGTGTCGTCTCTGTCTCCGTGGTAACGTGTCGTCTCTGTCTCCGTGGTAACGTGTCGTCTCTGTCTCCGTGGTAACGTGTCGTCTCTGTCTCCGTGGTAACGTGTCGTCTCTGTCTCCGTGGTAACGTGTCGTCTCTGTCTCCGTGTCCCTCAGATGAAGAAGTGTCTTCACGCCAACAGCGCCCGTCCCTCAGAGGACCGCCTGACCTCGGTGCAGTTCCACCCCTCGGCTCAGGTGGTCCTGACGGCCGGACTGGACCGGTCCGTGTCCCTGTTCCAGGTAGGCAGGGCTCCAGCACAGGTGGAGACACCTGCGCTGACACACACAGGTACACACAGGTGTGCTCGTGTCACTTTAACCCGGCTCTGCCTCAGGTCGACGGGAAGACCAACCCCAAGATCCAGAGCATCCACCTGGAGCGGTTCCCCGTCCACAAGGCCCGGTTCAGCCGGGACGGAGACACGGTGATCGCCACGGGCCTGAAGCACAAGATGTTCTACCTGTACGACATGATGGAGGGCCGGGTGGTGCCGGTCCACTCYGTCAGAGGTGCGCCTCGCTCACACACACCTGACACCTGCAGCAGCGCTCTGACCTTCAAAATAAAAGCCTGTGGTGATGTGTCCAGGTCTGAACGAGGCCCGGGTCAAAGAGTTCTGTGTGTGTCCTGATGGGGGCGCTCTGCTGCTGACTGGAACCAACGGTTACCTGCACCTGCTCACCCTGAAGGTGAGACTCACCTGGAGATGATCCTCACTGTGTGGGCGTGTCCTTACCTGTGCGTGTGTGTGTGTGTGTGTGTGTGTGTGTGTGTGTGTGTGTGTGTGTGTGTGTGTGTGTGTGTGTGTGTGTAGAGGACGGCGAGGTGTTTGTGTGGGACGTGCGCAGCAGCAGGTGTGTCAGCAGGTTCACAGATGACGGCTGCGTGAAGGGGACGTCCATCGCCGCCTCACCTGACGGACGTTACCTGGCCTGTGGGTAAGCCACGCCCACTCAAAGGATCGGCTCTCTGATTGGCCAAGGGTCGCTGAGCGGTGTACGCGGCCGTCGTGATGGTGACTCTCAGCTGTGACCTCTGTTTCAGCTCTCAGTCGGGCGTGGTCAACATCTACTCCCAGGAGGCGTGTCTTAACTCGACCAATCCGAAGCCTCTGAAGGCGGTGATGAACCTGCTGACCTCAGCCACGTCGCTGACCTTTAACCCCTCCTCTGAGATCCTCGCCATGGCTTCTCGTGTTGAAGACGAGGCCGTTCGGCTGGTGAGCTGCAGCTGAGCGTGATGATGATGATGATGATGATGATGATGATGATGATGATGATGATGATGATGATGATGATGATGATGATGATGAAGGTGAACTCTGACCTCTCACCTGTCCTCAGGTCCACATGTCCAGTCTCACAGTCTTCTCCAACTTCCCCGTGGCCAACAGGAAGATCACTTATCGAACGAGCTGCCTCGACTTCTCGCCACACAGCGGCTTCTTCTCATTGGCTAACAACAAAGGCCACGCCCCCCTCTTCAGGTCAGACAGCCAATCAGCAGCAAATATCTTACCTGCTACAGGTAGCCCTTTGAGCGACGGGGGCATCAAACAGGCTAACGGCTGAGTTTAGCTTCAATTTGTTGCTTCATTTCCTGTCAGGAACGACCAAATATGGCTGCTGGTGTGATTCTGATGATTTCTTTACATCAGCCAATCACATCGCAGTGGAGGCGGGAACATGTTTCAGTAAAAAGATAATTAGCATCATTAAGATTTTATTAATAAATGTAGATTTTTCTCCTTTTTGAAATGAAAAAATAAAGACTCTGTTAGTGACTTTGATCCAGAACAGAAACATTCAGAACCAGGGCTGTGGACCAGCTCCCGGGCTTTGATCCAGAACAGAAACATTCAGAACCAGGGCTGTGGACCGGCTCCCAGGCTCGTTAATGTGTTCAAAGTTTAAATTTCTCTTTCTGAGGTCATTTATAAGAGTTATCTGCAGCAGGTAAGATAGTAACTGTTTATTTTGAACCAGAATTGTCCCGTTAGTGCAGCGTCACTGGTCCGGTCCGGTCCAAACTTCAGGTTCTGTTTATGTTGACTGACAGCTGGTTGTGTTTGTGTTCAGGTTGCTGCATTATAAAGACTTCTGAGGGGGACAGGACCTCCAGTCGGACCAGGATGATCCGAACCGCCACAGGAACCGGACTCCATGAAACATGAAGAGCCCGACCCGGTTCTGGGTTCTGAAGAATAGAACCGTTTCACTCAGAACCATCAAACATCATAATTTATTTCTTCAATCAGAACCAAAACCTGTGAAGAAATAAAAACTTTTATTTTTCTTCAGTTCGACGTAAAAAAAATGAATTTTTTGTTTTTAATCTTCTGATCAAAATGATTAAAAAACTGAATAAATAATAACTTGTTGTTTTTTGTTTTTAAATAATCACCTGAAGGGGGCGGAGCCATGTATCTGTCAGACACAAGCCTCTAAATAAAGTTTCATTTGAATGTTTGACAGAAACAAACTGGATCCACCACCTTGGGTTCTTCTGGTTCTGGGCCTGAATGTTTGATCTGAGCCTGGGGGTCAAAGGTCAGGGGACCCTGAGCTCCATGTGGGAAACACGAGTTTATATTTTATTATTTTTAATTGGTTAAATCAGATCACTTTATTCTTTTTACTTTTATAATTTATTTATAACAAATTATTATAAATCATTAAGTTTAAATTTGACGAAGTAATTATGACAAAATTCACCAAATTTTATTTTACCTTCACTAAAATAACTTGTAAATCTCAAACTTTAATTTGAAACTTAAAGAAAAAAATCTGTATTTTAAAACTTTTATTTTGAAAAAACAAACCTGATTTCTGTCCAGTTCTGTTGGACCTGATCAGTCAGGTCCCCGCCCACTATCTCACCTGGTGGCTTTCTGCAGCTGCTGGCCCCGCCCCCTGATGACATCACACACCTGCCTGTCAGGGTTGGAGACAGAAACGATTGGAGTGACGGAGGAGAAGGTAAGAACCTGCTGCAGCTTTTTACTCAAAATTAAAATAAAAGTTTAGATTTTTAAAGTTTAAAACCAGGAATCAGCCGAAGAGTTAAAAATCAGCCGAAGAGTTAAAAATCAGCCGAAGAGTTAAAAATCAGCCGAAGAGTTTGATGAGTTTAAACTCAGCTCACCTGCCCAGGTGTGTTCCTGCTGATGAGTCATCAGCTGCTCTAGATGTTTGTCTCTCTCAGGTAAAGAGAAGCTTTAAAGGTTTCCCTGGACCTGGACCTGGACCAGTTTAATCCACCTGACAGACCTCTGAGCATCAGATCCAGACTGAAAACCTGAACCAGGACCAGAACCTGAGCAGGACGTTTTCAAACACGCTGACGTCACGACGGGCTGGATTTTGGGATGCTGGATCTGATGATGGTTCAGTTTTTGTGTCCGCCCCCCCTGCGAGTCCAGCAGGTCCAACAGGTTTTCAGCAGCTGGTTTTCAGAATCCAGACTCGGAGCAGTTCAGACTGAAAACCTCCTGATCCAGAACTGTTGATCTGATCCAGTCTGTAACATGATGAAGTGGTCCTGGTTCAGGTCCTGGTTCAGGTCTTTACTGGATTTGATCTGAAGGTTCTGTTTGTCTGGAGGAACTTTTCTTTGGTCCTCCTGGGTCCAGTTCTGTCAGATTCTGTTTAAGGACCAACTAAAGACTGGGTCTGGAGGACTGTTGATCCGGACCACTTTAAGATTAGGAAGTCTGGATCCGTGGGTCTGAACAGGACAGGACTGTGTGAAATAAGGTCCAGAACCAGACGAGGTTCCTGAGACCGACCAGGTGGTCCAGAAGGATCCTCATCCTGGATCAGAGTTTAAAGATCTGCTGCAGACAGGAGTCTCCTGTGGTACCATCAGAGACCTGGGTCCGGTTCAGGGACCTGGGTCAGCGATCTGCAGGGGTCTCACTGCTGCTGGTTTTGGTTCCTTCAAAGATGCAGAACATCTGGACCTGAACAGAACTTCTAAAACAGGTAAATCCTGGTGCAGGTGCTAAGCCCCGCCTCCTGGGCTCAGGTGGAATGTGGTCTGAGCTGCTCCTCTGCCGGGTCACAGGAGACTCCAAGAAATGGGTCAGAGGTTTTCACTGAGCCCAGGTGTTCCAGGTCCGTGTGGGTCCAGAACCCGACAGAACCAGGAGGTGGGTCAGGCAGCTGCTGGTCTGCAGGTTCTCCAGACTGATCCGTCAGAAGGTTCTGGTGTGGACCAGAAGGTGAACCCTTAGATCAGAGTGTGGTGGTTCTGATGAATGTTTCAGGTTCTGATTGGACCTCCCAGACTTGGGTCTAAGTAGATTCTGGGTCCAGTTTACCAGAACTGCACCTGGTCTTGAAGGTAAACTGGGTCTCTCAGAGACTGGAACCTGAACTGAACCGACAGGAACAGAGTCCTGAGACCCGGGTCAGCCTCAGACCTGGTCTTGAGTTTGTCTGATGGAGGACTCTGGGGTCTGGTTCTGGTCTGGTTCTGGTCTGGCCCCTCAGTAACCTGTGTTCTGTTCAGGAGCACCATGGCGGAGGCGTCGCTGGATCTGTTCTCAGAGCAGGAGCTGACCTGTTCCATCTGCCTGGACCTGTTCACCGACCCGGTTTCTACTCCCTGTGGACACAACTTCTGCCAGGTGAGCCCAGTGCAGGTTCTGTTGGCTAACGGGTCAGAACTCTGAGGTTCTGTTGGCTAACGGGTCAGAACTCTGAGGTCCTGTTAGCTAACGGGTCAGAACTCTGAGGTCCTGTCAGCTAACGGGTCAGAACTCTGAGGTCCTGTCAGCTAACGGGTCAGAACTCTGAGGTTCTGTTGGCTAACGGGTCAGAACTCTGAGGTCCTGTTAGCTAACGGGTCAGAACTCTGAGGTTCTGTTGGCTAACGGGTCAGAACTCTGAGGTTCTGTTGGCTAACGGGTCAGAACTCTGAGGTTCTGTTGGCTAAC